TTTTTAGTTTTCGGCAGACACAACATCTTTGTTTGTATGTGGTGCTGAGGATCGAACCTGGGCCACACGCATGCCAGCGAGCGCTACCCCTTGAGCCACATCTCCAGCCCCTAGATCAGGCCTTCTTAAAGTGAATTCCCACACCTCGACTGCTCAAAGCAGGGAGATGGGCAAGTGAGGACACTTCAGGCTGGAGGAAGGGTGGAGTAGGAAGTGGGCTGGGGAACCAGGGAAGGTGGTTCAGGGGCAAGCTGGCCATGTTGATCATGACATCTGGCAGGCCTGACTTGTGCTTGAGCTTAGCTCATCTACCTTACGCCAAACACAGTTGTTGTACCCTCCACCTATCCCCAGGATTTGTGACTCAGCTAATGGATCCAGTTTGCCGTCATCAAGGAGTGGCAGTACTCCTGGAGGAGCTGGGCCCAGTCCAAATCTGAGCAGATGGCATGAAAGCTTCTGGGTGAAGCTGGGAATGTTGGCCTAGCTAAAGCACCTGTGCCTGGTCTTTACTCTGATCAGAGGTAGAGATAGAGAATCACTCAGACTCTCTGCTGGAGCCCTCTTTCAGGGCATCTGTCTTAACTGTGTGTTGATTCTAGCATCTCCATAGGCCTTGGCCTCTGTTCTGCTTCCAGGAATTGCCACACAAGCCCCCTCCTTGGTATCATAGTGGCTGCACATAATTCATCTCACATTCATCTCTCCAAGGCCTTCACATCTTCCCTGGAAGTTAGGCTGGTGGTGGGATGTGTTGGCAAGCCTATTTCTCAGATGGGAGAACATGCATAGGCCAAAATCAGGGATGGAAAGCACGCAAGTTCATCCAAGAAGTTGGTGGTGGGGCTGGAAACTAAGCATGACCTACCACTCACTTTTTTTTTTTTTGTACCAGGTATTGAGTCCACTTAACCACTGAGGCACATTTGCAGCCCTTTTTATTTTTTATTTTGAGACAGGGGCTTGCTATGTTGCTTAGGCCCTCGCTAAGTTGTTAAGGTGGGGTTTGAACTTGTGATTCTTCTGCCTCAGCCTCCCCAACCACTGGGATTACAGGTGTGCACCATCACACCTGGCTTCTTCTCACCTCTTGCCACTCACTTCCTTGTTTATTTCACTCTATCCATAATGGTCTCCTCCTTAGTATTTCCTTCTTGAGCAAGCCAAACCTGTTCCATCTCAGGGCCTTTGCACTTGCAGTTCCTCTGCTTGGCAGGTTCTTCTTCCAGATCTCTGCAGGACTCTTTCTGTCTCTGCTTACACATTACTATCTAAAATAACAGACTCCTTCCTTTGTCACTCTCCTCCTTAATGGCACTTGACTTCTACATAACACGTCGTGTGTTTTGGTAGTTCATTGTTGTCTGCCAGCCTTCTAGAATGTGTCTTATTTATAGCTGAATCTCCAATAACTAAAACAGTGTGTAGAACATGATATAGATGATAAATATTTGTTGAACAAATGATTAAACCCAGAATGCCTCACTCCTGGTCCAGAACTTTGACCTTTTACTCTGCATCCCAGAGAAGTTAGAGGATGGGGAGAGCATAGAAAGGGTTGCGGGGTTGGCTCAGACTGGAGGAAATCACTCTTGTTCCTTAGATAGAAACATACCAAACACTGACCCAGGCCATGCACCGTGAGGTCTGGGTGTGTCAGAGGGCTCTCTTGAGTTCTCATGGCTTCCCCAGAGTAAGAGGGGATCACTGGGGACAGCAAATGCTTCCCCTTCGGAGCCTTTTCCCCAGAACTGGCACCACCTCTATCCTTGGGACCATTGTCATCTGCCTCCTTTTGGATCTGTCACTCAACATTTATACGCCTACTGTGTGTCAGGCTCAGGACTGGGCACAAGGGAGACAGAGATAAATGAATCATTGTCCTCACTGCCAGAGAGCTCACAGCTTAGTCAGCAAGGCAGATAAGCAAACACACCAGAGCACGGGGAGAGATTCTAACAGAGGAGCAGTGTGGGAGTGCAGCACTTGTGGTAGTCAATGATGGCTGTGCCTAGGTTGGTAAAGGGTAGTTAGGGAAGATTCCAGAAGAGGGGATGTTTGAGCTGGTTCTTAGAGGACCAGGGTACAGACATAGAGAAGGGCATTACCAGATGAGAAAGTGAATCAGAGGGTTCAGTTGAATGGAAGAAGTGTAGGTCTAGAGTGGGATGGGGCAAAAGTAAAACTAAAGAGAGAGTGTAAGGGCCTTGATCACCAGGCTTAGGAGAGTGGGCTGAGTCCCGTTGGCTGTGGACACCAATACAGCATTTGGGGCAGGAGGATTTGGTCAAGTTTGCTCTTTAAGAAGTTTTCCATGGTTGCTGTGTACAGAGTAGTTGGGAGTGGTTGGTAGAGAATCAAGAAAATGAACTAGGGGTCAGGTGCGGTGGTGCAGGCCTATAATCCTAGCAACCTGGGAGGCTGAGGCAGGAGATCAGCCTCAGCAAGTTAGCAAAGCCCTAGCAACTTACTGAGACCCTGTCTCAAAATATAAAAATGGCTGGGGACGTAGCTAATTGGAAAACCTTTTGGGTTGAATCCCCAGTACCAAAGGCAGGGGTGAGGGAAGAACTAAAATGAATTAGGAGATGATGGAGTCAAGACAAAGGGCTGGATTTGTTTGCCCTAAAGGTCCTCAACTGGCGTTCATGCAGGTGCAGGAGGCCAGACATAAAGCTCCTGGGACCCCCCACCCTCAAGGAGTCTCAACAGCAGCAGAATTTAGATAACCTTTAAACTTCTTCTCCCTTTATGAGATGATATTGTTTTAGGACAGGAAATCATCATTAAATATTTGCTCTTCCTGGTTAAGCAATGAAGTGTAGCTGCCACCTGCCTCAGAGACATCCATGCACCTGTATAGGTTCTTAAGAAAGGGTAGGAGGATTCTGAAGCTGAATCAAGGACTACTGGGGACTTCATCGTAGGCTGCGCATAGATCTGGAGCCTCTATGAATCTGTAGAGATGACTAGATGCCTGGAGCCCCCAAAGGGGTTGTTCTTAAATAAGAATCCCCCCCCCCATTAACTCATTGTTCTAGTCTTAGAACTTCTCTGTAGGCTTGGAACCTTTCAAAATAAATCTTTCTGGGGGAAAAAAAAATCACTGATGTTTGGACTAGGGATGTAGCTCAATTACAGAGCACTTGCCTAGCATGTGCAAAGACCTGGGTTCAATGTAGCACCAACAAAACAAAACAAAACAAAACCCAAAAACCTCACAAATAAACAAACAAAAAACACCTATTCTAGGCAAGTGTTCTATCACCAAGCTATCCCCAGTCCAATACTGAAATATTGATTTAAATATTTCATAGTAAAACTGTATTTTTAAATTCTCCAAAGGTAAATAAAATCTTCAGATAGAGTTCAAAATCCTTGACCTAAATGAATTAGAGAAAATCAGATATTTTATTCTTTTTTTGGGTATGGGGGGAGGGTAGTGGGGATGTGGCTCAGTGGTCAAGTGACCCTGAGTTCAATCACTTGACCACTGAGCCACATGCCCAGCCCTATTTTGTATTTATTTAGAGACAATACAGAGCAATAGTAACAAAAACAGCATGGTACTGGTACCAAAACAGGCGGGTGGACCAATGGTACAGAATAGAGGACACAGAAACCAATCCACAAAACTACAACTACCTTATATTTGATAAAGGGGCTAAAAGCATGCAATGGAGGAAGGATAGCATCTTCAACAAATGGTGCTGGGAAAACTGGAAATCCATATGCAACAAAATGAAACTGAATCCCTTTCTCTCGCCATGCACAAAAGTTAATTCAAAATGGATCAAGGAGCTTGATATCAAATCAGAGACACGCCGTCTGATAGAAGAAAAAGTTGGCTACGATCTACAGTCTGTGGGGTCGGGCTCCAAATTCCTCAATAGGACACCCATAGCACAAAAGTTAATAACTAGAATCAACAAATGGGACTTACTCAAACTAAAAAGTTTTTTCTCAGCAAAAGATACAATAAGAGAGGTAAATAGAGAGCCTACATCCTGGGAACAAATCTTTACTCCTCACACTTCAGATAGAGCCCTAATATCCAGAGTATACAAAGAACTCAAAAAATTAGACAATAAGAGAACAAACAACCCAATCAACAAATGGGCCAAGGACCTGAACAGACACTTCTCAGAGGAGGACATACAATCAATCAACAAGTACATGAAAAAATGCTCACCATCTCTAGCAGTCAGAGAAATGCAAATCAAAACCACCCTAAGATACCATCTCACTCCACTAAGATTGGCAGCCATTATGAAGTCAAACAACAACAAGTGCTGGCGAGGATGTGGGGAAAAGGGTACACTTGTACATTGCTGGTGGGACTGCAAATTGGTGCAGCCAATTTGGAAAGCAGTATGGAGATTTCTTGGAAAGCTGGGAATGGAGCCACCATTTGACCCAGCTATTCCCCTTCTCGGTCTATTCCCTAAAGACCTAAAAAGAGCATGCTACAGGGACACTGCTACATCGATGTTCATAGCAGCACAATTCACAATAGCTAGACTGTGGAACCAACCTAGATGCCCTTCAATGGATGAATGGATAAAAAAAAATGTGGCATTTATACACAATGGAGTATTACTCTGCATTAAAAAATGACAAAATCATAGAATTTGCAGGGAAATGGATGGCATTAGAGCAGATTATGCTAAGTGAAGCTAGCCAATCCCTAAAAAACAAATGCCAAATGTCTTCTTTGATATAAGGAGAGTAACTAAGAACAGAGTAGGGTCGAAGAGCATGAGAAGAAGATTAACATTAAACAGGGATGAGAGGTGGGAGGGAAAGGGAGAGAGAAGGGAAAATGCATGGAAATGGAAGGAGACCCTCAGAGTTATACAAAAGTACATACAAGAGGAAGTGAGGGGAAGGGGAAAAATAATATAAGGGGGACAAACGATTGTCAGTAGAGGGAGCAGAGAGAGAAGAGGGGAGGGGAGGGGAGGGGAGGGGGGATAGTAGAGGATAGGAAAGGCAGCAGAACACAACAGACACTAGTATGGCAATATGTAAATCAATGGATGTGTAACTGATGTGATTCTGCAATCTGTATATGGGGTAAAAATGGGAGCTCATAACCCACTTGAATCAAATTGTGAAATATGATATATCAAGAACTATGTAATGTTTTGAACAGCCAACAATAAAAAATTTAAAAAAAAAAAGTAAGAAACAAATAGGATTTAGGAACATATTATGAATAGACTGTATCTTAAAATCCCTAATTGAGTGTATCTTAAGCCTCTCAAGGGGAATAATTAATACAAAAACATTAAATAAGCCCAAAGAACCAGAAATAGCTGTAAAATTAGAAACTGACAGGTAACAAAATTTTACATTTGCAAAGTTTCAAATTAATAAAAAACTTTTATTTCTTAAAAAAAAAAAATAGAGACAGGGTCTCACTGAGTTGCTAAGTGCCTTGCTTTTGCTGAGCTGGCTTTGAACTCATGATCCTCCTGCCTCAGCCTCCCGAGCCACTGGGATTACAGGCACGCAGCACCACCAAGTCCAGCTTCATTGTATTCATTTTATAAGTCAGAAATTCTTTGAAGGCAGACAATCAAATTACTCCTTCATATGTATATTACAGAGATATGGGGGAGTTTTAGATACTGCTTTTTCTTGAAAAGAATCCTGTGTTTAACCTATTAAAATGGAAATGAGCATATAGTACCTGAAAAACATGAAAGTATCTTTCTTCTAATGTTTTATTCTGTGTCAGAAGCAGGGGGCTAGTACATGCAGCATGAGAAACATGCTATTTAAAAAGTCTTATTTTGCCTTTATTTTATCTGCTGGTTATGCCCACTTCATGGCACCAAAAAATAAGTAAAAAGAATCAGTTTTGTTTATATTTCTCTCACTGCATACTTAACAAATGTTTCCCATCTGCTCTCACCAATCCAGTTTCACAGCTGTTCTGGGAGAAAGGCTGAGTCAGAATTATCATCTGTTTTGTGCACAGATAAACTGAGGCCCAGTTAAGGAAAATGGCTTTCCTGAGTCACAAAGTTGGTGGGGGAGGTACTGACAAAGGTATCCATGACTCCAGCCCCCTTTCTCTGCCTCCTCCTACTTGCTGTTTTTTCTGTTCTTTCTCTTCCCTTTTCTTTTTACTTCAACTACCCTTTCCTTGCTCCAGTCTACTTTGTAAGTTATCCAAACATTTGCTCCCTCCAGAAATCTGCCAGTCTCATAGCCACAGCTCCATGTCACCAGAAACTATTTGTCTTGAACAAGCCCTTTCCTGGTTCCAGGATGCAGGGATTAACTTGAGGTGACGCTCTTGTCTCCAACTGGCCCCAGATAAGATAAGGGTGGGGATCAGCACTATAAACAGGTTTCCATCCTTCCTTGCCACCCAGGCCCCAGTTAGCTTGGGCCACACCAGCTCAGGATCAGCATGGCCGTCCGTCTATGGGTGGTCACCCTGGCCTTGGTTGCCCTCCTCGCTGTGGACACGGGTGAGTGGGTAGAACCTGGACTTTGTACTGGTAGAGAGCTTGGGAGTGTGGGTAGAGGAAAGGTCTGGAACACACCGTGAGGACTCAGCTCTCTGCATATGCCTTCCTTCTACATATACACCCTCTACTGTGGTGGGCAAACCCCTGAGTAGGAGAAAAGAAACTTGAGTTCAGATTCTAAATTTGGCCTAGAATTGCCAAAGTCCCCTTCCATTTGGGGCCTCAATTTCTCCAGCTATACAGCAGGAGGTTGTCCAGTTCATAGTTGCACTGGGCAATTACTGGACTAGAGGTTGAGGGGGCAGTAGGAGTGAGTGAGTGTCAGTCCTCAGGGCCAATAGGCAACTATGCTCACTGAGGGCTGATGGATGCTGAGAGACATTCTGACTCCTGTTCTGCCATGACATGCTGTGCTTTGAGTCTATGAACAGCCATGTGAGCATTTGGGAGCTCTTCCCTGGGAATCCTTGTCTGGGGCTAGACACATATATCTGGAGTGGGGCTTCCTTGGGGCTGGAATACATCAGCACTTTCACAGCTAAGGCACTGTGACCCCTTTAACACATCAGTTACTAAAAACAGACAAAGCACTCCTGAGGGACCTTAAGTCCAATGGGTAGAGAAGGGAAACAGACAATAAACAACATAGGTAAAATGTATGTTAAACAGTAGGCTAAAATGTGGTAAAGCCAAAGGAAAAAAATATCAAGCTGGGTAATAGGGATTAGGAGGTGACTGCAATTTTAAATCAGGGGAGATCTCTCCGAGAAAAAAAGGAGATGAGTGAGCCTTGTGGCTATTTGGGGGATTCCAGGCAGAGGGAATAGCCAATGCAAAGGCCCTGAGGTAGAAGCATGCCTGGAGAGTTTGAGGTACTGTGAGGATGCCAGTGTGGCTGGAGGGCAGTGAAGGGCAGGGTACACAGCAATAGGTGAGACAAGAGGCAAACTAGGAACTAAACTGGGTAAGGCCTCCTGGGCCAATGTGAAAACTTGGCTTTTCCTCTAAAACTGGGAGGCACTAAAGGGTTTTGAGGCAGAGTTATATTTTTAAAGAATTGCTCTAGTTGTTATACTGAGAATAAAGTAAATGGGGGTAGGTGGAGAGACCAGTTGGGATCCAACTGGACAGAAGTCATAATGTTTTAAGCAGGCCCTGGCAGGTCCTCAGGGCCATTGACTCACGGCCACTTCCTCATCCACTTCTCCAAATGGGGACACACTGTGGCAATGAGAAATGGGTCCAGGGGCTCTGGTCACACACAGACTGCTTACTCCTAGCCTAGCACCAGTTTTCTGAAGGTTTCAGTAAAGTGTTTGAAGAGGATCCTTGTACACATTTCAGATCCTGCATGGACTGAGTGAGAAGGGGGCACTTTGGATCAAGGTCAAAGGAAGCTGGGGTGTGAATGCAAAATTTCCCCGCATTTCCTAGGAAGAAACTCTGGACTCTCCCTTCCCCCGGCATACTTTAGTGGTCAATTTCTGAATACTGAATGTGGGAATTGACCAGGGTGCTACAGAGTCAAAGAACCCAAGAAGCTCAGGTTCACAGGGAGGCAGGGTGACCCAGTGAGTGGGGTAGCATGTGATTTTGTGGCAAAGCCCAAGTTCAGGTCTGCTCAGGAAACAATGGGGGAAAGTCTTCTGAGCCTTGAAAGGATGGTATGATTCAATAGGAGAAAGGGGGTAGGCAACATTTCAGGGAGAGGGGCTTTGCATGAACCAAAACAGAGCCTGTTACAGGAACAGTGAGCAGAAGAAAAGCTGGACTTAGGGACATGCAAGGTTAGATAGTGAGCCGAAGGTCAGGTGCCTCAGTCCTACGGGTGGGCTCAGGGAAGCAGAGCACAGCATCCACCACTGCCTCCTTTCTTCCCTCCTTTCTTCAGAGCAGCAAGAGAGGTCTGAACAGTGGTTAAAATCATGTATTCTCTGGGGCTGGGGTGTGGCTGAAGCGGTAGCACGCCCGCCTGGCATGCGTGCGGCCCAGGTTCGATCCTCAGCACCACATACAAACAAAGATGTTGTGTCTGCCGAAAAAAACTAAAATAAATAAATAAATATTTTAAAAAAAAAAATCATGTATTCTCAATGCCTGGCACAGAGTAACTACTGAGTTGTTGATATTATTATGTGGGACACCATAATTTCAGTGGACTCTGAATGAGGAACATGCTGGTGACTACCTTCCTGATTTGAGACTTTCTGTCACTATGTATGATACACAAGATCACATCAGCTTTCTGGAAACCCTATCCTCTGGGTTTGTTTGAGAAATTCCAGATTGGTAGTGTTGGGGTCAGGACTCCCAGAGAAGGAGAAACAGTCCTCAGACCCCAGGATCTGGGACCTAGGACCAATGTTACCTTATTCTTACTGATTTGTTTTTCAGAGGTGCCAGTGTCAGCAGAAAAGCTCATTTTCTCAAGAATGGTAAGGCAGATGCTTGATGTTGTGGCCTTCCCTCTGCAGAGAGAAGTCCTTTCATCCATGCTGGAACACCAGAATTATTCTCCACTCTTGCTCAGATACCTTCAATGACTCCCAAGGAGGTCAGGGTGGACTCCTGAGCCTGCATGATCCCCAGATTATTCCCTCTAGGCTAAGCAAGTCTATGCCCTTCATCAAAGCCCTTGGGATCTGTCTCAACCTGGTCTCCAAGGCCCCTTCCCTCAGTGAGATTCTCCTACCAAGGTTTAGCAGCACATAGCATCTTCTCTGCTTTGTGTAATACAGACCGACCATATGATTCAGGCCAAAGAGGTGACCTTAGCACACTGAATGGCCCCATGGAGTGCCAGTCATTCCCCACTGGGTGTCATCATTCATCCCTTTACTCTGAGTAGACAAACATCAAGTTGCCCCTGAAGCCTATTCCACCTAGCTTCTGGGTCTAACATCCCCAGTGATCCTAAGGCAGTGATGACGGCATCCTTGGGAACATCAATCAGTCCTTTCAAATAGATGAATGAGTAAGTTCAAAGCCACCTTCCCATCCAACAGTGTAGCATCTTCCTGTCAGTCCATCAGAACGAATCCAGCTCCACATACTTGGTGCCAGATAAAAAGCCAAATATTTAACATAATTTCAATTAGTCCTATGCAAGGAACATTCCTAATTTTTACACATGAGGAAACTAATATTCCAACAATGGAAATAGCTCATCCAAGTTTACACAGCTGGTCCGGCAGAATCCAGGGCTTTAGCCTGAGCTTTCAGTGCTGCACCACACTGCCTCATTCTCCCTTCTCCCTGTGCCAGGGCCCAATCTTGACCCGGTTCTGTCAGGTATAGTCTGAATCCCTTTCAAATTGAGCCTCAATTAAGCTCCAAGCCCTGCCTCATTTCTCCAATCTTCCCACACTATGTACCTTCCTTCCAAGGACTTGATAGGCTACAGTGAGCTCAGGGGCTCCTGGGAAGAAGGCCCCCTAGGATGATGGGTTCTGTCTCCTGGGGTCCTCAATCAGACCAACAGAGAGGTTCTAGTTGGATCCTCTGAGGAGTAATGGAACCAGTCCCCAAGAACTTGAGGGCACAAACTCACTCTACACAAATACACAGTATACTTGGGAAACCCACACCTCAGTAGACACAGCAACATACTCAATATGCATCCAACCACAGGCACCTGGTCATGTACACACACACAAATATACCACAGGGTCCTGAGTGGCTGGTTTTATGTTCACTAGACCTACACACAGTTTGTCTTGAATTTGGCTCCATCCTGGTGCCTCTCAGGCTCCAAGCAGAGCTCCTATATCCCTCCCTATTGTCTCTGATTTTGAGTCTCCTCTGTCTCCTCCACAGCCCATCTGTGAGCACATGACAGAGCCTCCAAATTGTTCCCAGACACCTAACCTCGTCTGTGGCACTGATGGGGTCACATACAACAGTGAATGTCATCTCTGCTTGACCCGAATGTAAGAACTCCCAACTCAGCTTGCTTGGGTAGGCCCCATCTTGGCTGCACACAAATCTGAAAAGAGAAAGAATTGACCGCCTTCTTCCTTCACATATGCTTGGCCTGCGGAGTAGTGATATTTACTCTTAACAGAATGAGCCAAAATATGATTGAAAGAGAGGGCATGATTCCAAGCAGAAGCTGGTGGGGGTAGAGGAGAAGGGCCAGAAACCCTGGGTTCTTTTTCTTATTCTGCCCTTGATTGCTAGGGTCACCTCATTCTATAGAATGTTCTTTCATTCTATAGTCAATAATTATACTGAATACAATAATTATATTGAATACTTACTATGTGGTAGGCACAGGACAGAACAGAGCACAGTAAGTTAGATAGCACTGCTGGCCTCCTAGAGCATCCAGTCAATCTAAGGGGGAAGCCAGGTTGACGGTCAGCTAACTGCACCACAGAATGCCCAAGGCTCATATGGACAGGGCACCATGGTAACAAGGAATGGGCAGAGGCAGGGAAGACTGCCTGGAGGAGGTAATACCTGAGCACAGCCCTGAGGGATAAGTGGAAATAAGCTAGAAAGGAAGAGGTAGGGAAGATAATTCCAGATAGAAGAGAGGGAGCTGGGGAAGGCCTGGAAGGGAAAGAGTGTATTTGAAGAAAGTGGACAAACTGGAGTGTGAAGGGAGAATGGGGGAGGGGCAAAAAATTAATTCAGAGAGGTAAGGAAGAGGCTAGAACATGACTTTGGTAAAACCGATCACCTACTTGGTCTCATTTCTTCACCAATAAAATCCTGAGAGTCAGCTTGAGAGCTAAATGAGTTCATGAAAGAAAAGAAAGGTTCTTTCTTTGTGGCTGGAAACCACAAAGCTCTAGACAGAAGTGAAAGTTTGTATTGGAGGAACTGTAAGAAGCAGCAGAACACTGTCCAGTTTAGAAAAAGATCAAAATTAGACTCATAGTTAAGAGATACATTGAGCTGGGTGCAGTAGCGCACGCCTGTAATCCCAGGGGCTCAGGAGGCTGAGGCAGGAGAACTGTGAGTTCAAAGCCAGCCTCAGCAATGGCAAGGTGCTAAGCAACTCAGTGAGACCTTGTCTCTAAATAAAATACAAAATAGGGATGGGGATGTGGCTCAGTGGTTGAGTGGCCCTGAGTTCAATCCCCAGTACACCCCCCAAAAAGAGAGATATATTGATGGTAGAATTGCAGGTTTGTTGTGTAAATGGACATGAAAGGTAAGGGGACACAGAAGGCAAGAACAACACGCTGCTCTTCTAACCCATGGGCTTGGGTGGCTGGTGGTGCTAATTGCCAAGATGTGAACTATGAGGGTGCAGGTAGTAGTTGTAGGATACAATGTTTGTGAACAATTGAACCTCTGGTATATACCAGAGATGTGCAATGGACAACTGCATAGTCAGGAAGGACAGAGGTCTGGGCAGGAGACAGACTTGGCAGTCATAAGCATGCACAGGTGGTGGAAATCCCAGGAAGCTGAAATCTCCCAGGGGCAAGATGTAAGAAGGAAAGGTTATAGAAATACTCACAGATCCCTGGGATCTGCCCTATATTCCTACACTGTAGGATATGGGAGTGGGTTCAGCAGGGTATCTGCACAGATAGGGCCTGGTCCTTGAAGGGTATGTTATAGTTCCCAGAGGTATCCTCATTCTTGTCTCCTGTAATCCCAGAAAAACCAAAAAGGATATCCAGATCATAAAGGATGGCAAATGCTGACCCTGAAGGAGCGCCTCAAGCCAGGAAGCTTCAAGCTGGAGAACAGTGTTGGGCAGGGAGGAGATGTGACATAAAATAAAAGCTCCAGCCCAACCCAGGGAAGTGAACCAGTGTCTTTGGGGACTCTGGGGGAGGTGATTGTGGTGAGGGCTGGGAGGGTGGATCTTGCACTATTCTTTCTGTTATAAATCCGATGTCCAACTCCTTTCCATCCCTCTGGTGTTCAACCCTATCTCATGTCTCCTTTGAGGTTTCAGTTGTCTCCTGCCCACTTGAGAGGTAGCCTCTGACCCCAGGACAGTGCCTGGAACCTGGATGAGATCAATATCCTTTGCCACTATTGATATGTGTGGTTCAGCTTTATTCACCCCCTTCATGGAAGCACACCCTGCGTGACTTTCTCTTGGGTTGTTCAGCACTCTGGGGCATGCAGAAACATACACAAATTCGATACAAACACAGCTTATATTCAGGAAGTTTACACAGAACAGTGAACTAGGTCTTCTGTTCTAAATCCTCTGAATGCTTCCCTAAACCCTGGCCACCTAGACTGTCACCTGAAAACCTCTTGGATATTCCAGTGTCCAGTTAACACCTGGCAAAACAGGATGACTTCCAGATCCTTTTCTGCTCTTTAGGTCAACATCTGCTGACTAGATGACATTAGACACAACTCCAGGCACACATAGCACATGTATATCCACACCATGGACCACAGAGACACAGAGCACTAGAAATCCCACCAGAGACCTCAACTTGTGGTACATGCCAAATACTCCCCCCCTCCCTTTTGGCCTTTTTGCCTCTTGATAATGGTGTCAGGGGAAAGGAGTGTGGAGAAAGGCCTGACCAGGCAAGAGCAGTTGTTTCACATGGATTCAGATTTCTGTTCTAGGTGGCTAGAAAGAGCAGGAAATGCTCCAAGAAACCATATGTCATTGAGAAGAAAGCCGAGCAGGAAAGGCAGAAATTGTTGCTGATAGATTCCAAGTGGCAGGATCTGGGAGATGATCTTCTATAGGCCCTTCTACTACTATTGATAAACTTGTTTCCCATCTGCAAACAAATGATGTAAGATTCAGTTTGGCAGTTAGAGACAGAAAACCAAAAATAATAGAAGCTTAAGCAGATAGAAATTAATTTGACAATTCCTTGCTTCTATATTGTTTCTCTATCATTCTCATCAGTTTCCATCTTAAAGTTCAAGAGAGCTCTTCCAATCCCATCCAGCATGACTGCATTCCAAGTTACAGAAAGGAGGAAAGGGCACACCACCTACTATTGAAGACACTTCCCATAAGATGTATAAATTCAGTTCAATTGGATAAAATGCCCCTTGGCCATTTAGAAGCAGGAAGACTGAGAAATATCATCTTTACCTGTGTAAAAATGAGGGGAGTTCACTTATTGTAGGAGGAGAAAGTGGATATTAGTGACATCTGAAAATCTCCCTCCAAAGCGAGAAGGCTCTTTAAACCTAAGTGGCACAGATCAAACATCTCAGTGATGCTTTCTTTCATGGATTCCACTCATATGCTAAGAAATCAAAGATTAAACCTGAACATTGTGGCAGACACCCTACTAGAAGAAATTCCTAACCCCCATTTATAGATGTGGACCACTCTAAAAGTCAAGAGTGAGCCCTAAAAGGCTTATCTATGATATGCGACTCTGTTACCCTGGGCATTGTTGATTGGCTAAAAGATTCTTGCCTGGGAATTTTCAAATTGAAAACAAGGAAACTAAGGCAGTAAGATGTGTGATGTGAAGACTGCAACGATGTTCACTGTTTTGAGATTACAGAAGGAACAAGATAAGGACTTTGGTCTTTATCCTAAGAGATGTGGGGAGCACTGGAGGTTTCCAAACAAGGAACTTATGTATTTATGTACATGACTTATGAACTGAGGCTGCTCTGTGGAAAATGAACTGGAGAGAGCAAGAGAGACCGAAATGGTAGCTAAATAGAGGAAAAGACATAAGAAGTGAATGAATGTATATAACCCCAAGTCACTGGGGAGGCAGAACAATAGATATTAAAAGCACGGGCTCAGGGCTGGGGGCGTAGCTCAGTGGTAGAGGACCTGCCTAGCACATGCAAGGCAAGGCCCTGGGTTCCATCCCCAGCATTGATAAACAAACAAACAAATAAATCAAAGGAAAGCACAGGCTCTGACATCAAACTGCTTAGCTCTGTGTTGTGGCTTTACCACTTACCACTTTATTTATTACCGTGAGCAAACTACCCAAATTTCCTCATTTTTTTCTACCTCTTTTATTATGTAAAGATTAAATGATTTATAAGAACTTATAATAGTGCCTGTCACACGACAATTTCTTTTTCCTTTATTTCTTTTTTTTCAGATATCTGTTTTTCCCCACATAGTAATTTCTTACTAGTCTGAGGTCTTACCCACCCAGTCCTAAACTGCTGGGACTTCAGTGAATCCCTCTCTGTCAAATGAAGTGGGCCTTGGGCGGCCTATAGGGAGCCTATCTCCTGAGCACTATGATAAAGAATGAAATGACAGCAGCTGATAATGTTTTTTCCCCCTGTGGGTACAGGGGTTTGAATTCAGGGGTACTTAACACCGACCTACATCCTCGGCCTTTTTTTATATTTTATTTTTAGACAGGGTCTCACCAAGTTGCTGAGAGCCTCACTAAATTGCTAAGGGTGGCTTTGAACACATGATCCTCCTGCCTCAGCCTCCTGAGCCACTGGGATTACAGGAATGCACCAGCAAGCCTGGCTGTTGACCAGTTTTATTTTTATTTTTTTCAATTTTATGAGGAATCACCATTTTGTTTTGTTTCTTTATTTTATGTATTTATTTTTACATGGTGCTGAGGATTGAATCCAGTGCCTCGCATGTGCTAGGCAAGCATTCCATCACTGAGTCCCAGCCCCAGCCCCTGTTGACCAGTTTTAAAAGGCAAGGCCCACATCTCTTAGGATAAAGACCAAAGTCCTTACCTTGTTCCTTTTGTAATCTCAAAACAGTGAACACACAGAGCCACTCTCAACTTTTTAAAAATAAATTCTGACTATAGCTACAAAAGGTTTTACCTTCTTAAGGCTCATCAAACCAAACCAAACCAAACCAAAATACTCTTCAGCTTGAGGAAAGTTGGTTAAAAGAGCTGGGAAAAGGCACCTGCTGGATTGTATAGCCACATAGAAATAGAATAAGAAAACAGACAGGAGCTCTACTTAAGGTTGCAAAGATAGTACTTTTTCATTGAGAAGTGGTGTAGGAGTAGGAAAATTGATAATTGGCCAGTTGCCTTTAACAGCTATGGAGAAACAGGCAATTTCTGTTCCAGAGAGGACAGAGCTGTTCTTCAGTCAGCACCATTCTCCACTGCACCTCACTCAACAAGGGCCAAGTTTGTAGACTGCAGCCGCTCAGACTCCTGGCAGATGTTCTGCTCCACTGTGTCACACTCAGCTAGGAATGCCTAAAAGATAGATACATGGCAGTGAGGGCTCTTCCAGAACTAGCCAACTACCGCCCACACAAAGCTCTTTACTCAGCCACTCTGGGGAACCTGTGAGTGAGACTCTAAACAGACTGTGTAAGGATGGAGATGGGTACCATCCTGGGCTCCAAGGTAAAGGAGGGAGGGAGAGGAAAATATAGGGTCAGGGTTTCTGACCATGCTCTAACTCAACAACTCCCCCAGAGGCAGTAATGGACAGAGAGTCTTTCCTCGGGGCCACGGACATTGCATCAACACAACTGAAGGAGGTACTGTACACACAAATGGTGCCTCCTGGGATTGTGTAAGGGGTCAGCCTATCTGCTCTTCTGTGAACTTTCTCCCTAAATAGTTTAAATTCAAATAAAACTAAAGAGACACAAAGGGGGCTCTTCTCTGATGCTCTGGCTTCATGCTGAAAAAACAAAACAACGACAACAACAACGAAAAATAAAAACTCATGCCAAACACTACATTTCTGCACTACTGGAAAATTTCAAGCAGATAAACAAACCCCAACACATAACAGTTTGTCAGGTACTATCACACAACTCACCTGAACTTTTTTCACCAAACCCTTCCTTTTTAGCCTACTGTCTTTGAAATTTTCTGGTAGGATCTATGGAAGAAAAGTTGACACATAATCTTCAGTGACAATTACATGAGATATATAAAAAAGAAAACAACACACCAAACAGATCATAGGTCACTAATGCAAATGAGATGTGAATTTTAAGGGATCATTTCTCCAGGTCTGTACTTTACAAAGTCCTTTCCACGGCTCTCATTCCTAAAAGCATCTTTGGTCTCAATGTCTGAACCATAAAAACTGATCTGTAACACAGACTTTGTTCTTTCACTGTTTCCTATGTATAGATACTTTGTCCTTGTCAGACCATGATCTCAGTATGCCAGGAAAAGTACCTTCTGATAATATTTTCTTTTACAACATAAGTGTCCCAAGCCCAGAGCAGTTCACACTCAAGAATGAAGCATCATGGGGCTGGGATTGTGGCTCAGTGATAGAGCGCTTGCCTAGCATACGTGAGGCACTAGGTTCGATCCCGGCACCACATAAAAATAAACAAAGGTATTGTGTCCATCTACAACTTAAAAAAAAAAAAAAAAAAAGAATGAAGCATCAAGCTAGAAATACAAAGCCCTGTTTCTTCAACCATGAGATCACAGACTACTTGGGTCCCAGTTTCATGAGTTATGGATGCTAATTTTATTTACATATATGTATACGACAAAAGCCCTGGGCTGGGGATATAGCTCAGTTGGTAGAGTGCTTGCCTCATATGCACAAAGCCCTGGGTTCAATCCCCAGCACCACCTAAAAAAAGTTGAGATACTTTACATAGGGGCTGGGGTTGTGGCTCAGTGGAAGAGCACTTGCCTAGCATGTGTGAGGCACTGGATTCGATTCTCAGTATCACATATAAATAAATGAATAAAATAAAGGTCCATCAACATCTAAAACAAAAACAAATACAAAAAAAAAAAAAAACAAAGATCTATGTTGGTGAGCTGAGTATTTAGAAATCAGCAACTGTCATTGAGTCTGTGTATTCACCCAGGAACTAGCGTGGTGTCTGGCACACAGTAGCTGATGCTCAATATCCTCAAGTGATGAGTTTGCTCAGACATTAGGAGTTCATTATTAAAAAAGTGAAACTGATATATTGTCAAAGAAAACTAGTTATTCTGAGCTTAATATTTACATACCATTGTGTCAATCTCCTCTAAGATCTTCATAAACTGCTCAATTGTGGCTTTTACTCGCCTATCAAGTTTGCCGAGAGCTTCAGCTTGCAAATCCTTAGCCAGAAAACCCTGTGGAGGAATGATGTATTATTGCAAGGGTTCCATAAGGCTGATGAAAAACTGTGCCACAATACCAATGAAGTGACCATGCCCTGTGTTCACTGTCACAAGCCAGGCCCACAACTTCATCTCCTGGAAGAAAACAGAAAGGCTGGCCTTGTGCCTATCCAAGAGTTTTATCAGGCTACAGGCTGCTCTATCTCACATGGGTCACTGGGGCTTCAAATGCCATTAGGCCTGGCTCTGGTGAAGTCCCCAGTCACAAGCATATACCTGCATATAAAGAGGCAGACTTTAAGGGCATGTGTTTGGGTGATGGAATGTACTCAGTGGTTCAGAGCTTACTTAGGAAATACAAGGTCCTGGGTTCAATCCCCAGCAAAGAGAGAGAGAAAGAGAATGTATCAGCTTTAGGGTCTGATAGACCTGGGCTCAGATCCTGACTGCCCAGGATTCTCATGATCTTGAGCAAGTTACTTAACTCCTTAATGTCCTCATTTTAAAAACAGACTATGGTACCCATATTCCAGAGGGTTACTATGAGGAAAAGGGGGAATGTATATGTAGTTGCTTAACATAACTCATGGGAAAGACTTACGCTAACAAATGGCAGTAGCCATTATTTTCATTAGATTATCTTGCTGTTTATTCATATTGCCTGGCCTCATGACCAATTAGTCAGTCATATGAGCTAAAAAGTCTCTGAGGATGTTTACCAAAGCCAAGAGCTAGATGCCTATTTGACAACAAGAGCAAGAACTTAAAATATTAACCAGCAATTCCAACTCAAATAATGCATTCTACAAACAAAACCTAGAAATAACCAAAAAAAAAGATTCATGACCAAGGACATTCAAAGAAGCATTATATACAATGGTAAAAATAATGTTAGGTGGTGAACAAAGAGACTAGGTTAGGTAAACTATGATACATTCAAACATGATGAGATATGTAATCTTTGAAAAAAACATTACAAATTTTAGACCTTTTTTTCCTACTGCTGGGGATCAAACACAGGTTCTCACGCATGCTGGCAAGTAAGTGCTCTGTCACTGAACAAAAACCCCAGCCCCAGTACGACCATTTTTAATGATGTAAGAAAATGTTCAGTTTCTTTAATCTAATAAGAGAATTTTTTTACAAAGTATATATAATATTATATCAAAATCTTAAAGAAAACACATTTCAGGCTTTGATTGGTTATCTCTAAATCACAGGTACATACTTGCACACAAGAGGCAGGTTTAGGATCTGACAGGCCTGGGCTCAAATCCTGACTAGTTTGTGCCTTACAGCTAATTTTTATTTCCTATATTACTACCTATGTGTGTAGGAATTATGTGTGTATGTAAAACTTTTATTATACAGCTATCATATCACTTTATATAATTAATACACAAACACATACCAATTATGTTATAAAATGAGGGGAAAAAGAAGTAGGTGGACTTGAGTTACTCCTAATCTTTATTGGGTGTCAGTATCCCATTTCTAACATGAGGTTTTGAATAGGATGTCCCACCCCACCCCAACCCCCACCATCACTACTCCACTAAGATCAAGCTGAATTTGGAGCTTCTGTGACTTAACCAAATATTCCTTGCCTTGCTAAATACATAGAAACACCCTGGACAGTGAGGAGCAATTTCAGACAATAATATGATCCTCCTGTGGCAAGTGCTCTCCCTCTCTTTCTCTTGTTACTGGGGATTGAACCCAGAGGCACTTTACCACTTAGCTATATCCCCAGTCCCTTTTTAAAAAACATTTTTTTTTTTTTAAATTTTGAGACATGGTCTTATTAAGTTGCTGAAGGTTTGGTTAAGTTGCTGAAGCCAGTCTTGAACTTGCAATCCTCCTGCCTCAGCCTCCCAAGTCACTGTGATTGTAAGCACACATGTCCTCTCTTGTAGGCACAAATAGATGTTAACTGGGGTTTGACATAACAATGAAAATAATACTTAGAAAGCATTCAGTATGTGTCAGTCTCAGCCTATAGTATTTAATACAATAACCCTAAGAGGAAAATACCACCATTATTCCCTTTTAGAGATGAGGAAGTTGAGAAAAACTTGTCTGAAGTAAGAGAAAAGATACGGGGCTAGGGATGTTGTGAAGTAGAATGTTTGTTGGACAGGGAGAAGAGGGGAAGAGGAGGGAGAGGGGGAGAGGCAGGGAAGGGCAGGGCGGGGCAGGACAAGAATCTGATCACAGGGTGTCTGAATGCAGAGCCTACACTTGTTACCACATATGATATCCACAAAGTTCTTACAAAAGGTGGAAAAGTTTACGACGGAAGTTACCTGCTGGATTCCAGTAAGTTCTTTATTCAGATCTTCCAGGTGGTCAGCTATCTTCTCCACTGACTTCTCCAAATCTTTCAACTTCTTTAATTCAGCCTCTTCCTCTGGACTATTCTAAAATGATGAATAAAATGAAGTCACTAATCACCAAGATCAGGGCTGGAGTATATCTTAGTGCTACTTGCATAGCATAGGCAGCGCTGGGTTTGATCCCTGGCACTGCAAAATACAAAAACAAAACAAAACAAAAACAACAATAATCACCAGGATTAGTAGCCTCTATCATAAGAAAATCTGGCCACAACTGGGCTAAAATGCTCACCTTGAAAGGCCGTAACTCTGCTGCTTCTTCAAAAGCAAATAAAAGTGTTATATGTCAAGGTTTTCTATCTACAAAGA